ACGAGTGGCTAAGCGCACGGTTGACGTGCAGTAATCCAGGATTCTTAGATTGTGAAGCTTGATGGCAGTGAGCCCAGCAACTGTCGACAGCCGGCATTCTGACGTCTTCTCGCATATCCACCGATGCTGGCCCTAACCCTGGATAGCGGGGCTGTGCCTTGGAGTTTGCCTGGCTTCGGGTACAGACGACCATAGGCGATCATACAGGACTTGGCGTTCGGCAAGTCCCTTCTACTCGGTTCTTTGAGCACAGACTTCGATCGGTCTCGTGGACCTCATCAATAGGTCATATCTGGATGCTTCTACAGCTTCTCCCTACTGGCTATTGTGTTGCTCTTCCACGAGAACCACTGCCAGTTGAGAGCGGACTTACCCATCGACAGGGTAATATAACGACCAGGCACGGTCGGGGGCACCATTACTCACACACACCTACACACACACAAGCAAATAGCCGCCAGCACATCCCCACCTGCTGGCCGTCTATTCTTCCCCTCCCAGGCAGGACAAGAGGCCGAGGGCACAGTGCACGAATCAGCTACAATTGACGCCGAAAATTAAAACCGCGAACATGGACAATCTCCGGCCTTTGTCAAGCTCTCTTCCAACACGACGGAGCGATCATAATTCTGCTGAACTTCTTTCAAGCTTCAAGGCGGCGGCTCTAAGTGTGACCAATTTATACAAAACCGCGGCCGCCGATCAGGCACGCTCACGTCATGCAGGGTATCAAGATGCTCTAGACGATCTACTAGCTTTCCTGGATAGAGAAAAGCTGGGCTTGATGGATGGCGAAGGTTGGAGAGTGAGGGCATGGGCAACTGGGCGTCTGGACGATAGGTCGGTTCAGAGGCATGCGGCAAGCAGTGAAGATGAGGCTGAGGATACTGCTAAGAGAGACGAAAATGCTGCAAGGAGACGTGCCGAAAGACGGCCTGTCGAGAACCATACATCGTCTGCTGGCAGTGGCAAAGCTATGTCTCTCAAGGAAAATGCTCCCGCCCCACGCCATTCTTCAGAGCCACCACAAGCACAACTGAGTCAAACTCAGCATACATCCGTGATGCCAAGTCTCGCACTACCCACTGCAAACGACTTTGCTTTCCGATCCGAACACCAGATGCCATCCAATCACGACAGACAAGATGCAGGAATGGAGCTTGACAGTGTCACATCCACAGGTCCTCCATCAGCAACTTCTTCCACTGACAACGGTTCGGCGGCCATTCGCATTGTTCCGAGACACAGACGTGATAAACACAATAACAGACGGCGAGACAACCAACAGCAACCTGCTTTGAATTTTAATCTTGGTAGTGGTGCTGGTAACAAACGTAAAATGCCTTACCCGGATTTCTTCGATATTTCGGGGGTCAGCTCTGAAGGGCCAGACTGGAAGAAAGATGGATCTAATAGTGGAGGTAACAACGGCATGCGAGGAGGAAAGAGGGGCAGACACGTCTGACCGAGAGCTGTGTGCATGCACGAGTGCATCGCCTGCCTTCAGAGGATCACAGTTACCACCAACATAATCTTTGGCTGAGGGTCTTTGGTACATTACGGAGCAACTTCAACGTTGTTCATATTCTTGGGTTCATGCATCGCGAGGTAGCATCACAGGGGCATTGCATGTACGGAGGATGTGATAGGGAATAATGACTTTGGACGAGCTTATTTGTTTTGACGCACAGCCCTCATTGCAGCCCTTCGAGAAGTCATGAGAGAATCGTATAGATATTTGGGAAAAGCTTACTGGACTGTATATAGATCGAGATACCCAAATTTTTCTACAGCTTGCGACGACTACATAAGAGCCTACATCATCCAGCCTCATGATCTCCAAACCTGCCCTTCGTACACTTGTGCAGGGGTATTAGAGAAAAATCGTCCCTTCTCATCAATATCAGGGTAGGGTTTCACCGGCACAGTTACAAACTTTCTGCTGTATGACGACACTTTTTGAAACACAGCGCTGTCAGCATACCTCAGTGTGGGACTCATGTCAAGAAAGAGAATATATGGTAGAGAAAGAAAGAGTCTTAATGACTTGAGGTCCGAGATATATAACAGCAACCATCTTCCTGAGCTAAACAATTTCCGTGCATTTCGGATACGCAGAGCATATCTAAAAGCACGTCGATCACCAGTCATGGGCAATCTAAATACTTCATATTCCATACGACCAAAGCCTACACTCAAGCCGGTCGACAAGGAAGACGACAGCATAGAGCCTCTCACATTGGACTCAGAACCCACGAACTCGCTCCCACTTGCACCAGCCTTTCCTTCTTTCCTTTCTGACGCCCCTAATGCGACTGCTGGGTCGGACGTGGAACAGGCGACCAAGAACCTAATGCATCCGGTCCATCTGCTCTGACTCAAGATCATAACTAGGGGGTTCATTTCACCAATACTGCTTGTCGCGAAACAAAGCGCCATCGCCTCGACTTCTTATTAGCCTCTCGAGGGCTAATTTATCTTCGACTACGACGATCTGCTGCCGTGTGATAAGATAAGAGCAACAGCTTACAAAAATGGACGTGTCACCACTCAAGATCGAATGTTTCTTCCAGTCGCATAGCTCGCTACCTCAAGGTCAAAGTGATGGTCGAAACGCCATGGCCCATGTGTCTGCCGTTGATGTGGCAGCTCCCGCCTGATTTCGGCTTGTGCGGACGTATTGAAGAGATCCGCTCCAGCTAGTGATATGACGGTAAGTGAGTGTCCAAGGAGAAGAAGAAATAAGGAACAACAATAGCGCAGACTGTCCTATGAGAGATAGGAATCACATTCAGAATAGCACAGCATCAGGAAAGATGAGGCTTACAGGCTTACATGTTCTACAGTAAATGTAAAATATGCCGAAGTATGATCGAGTTAGCATAAGTATGGTAAGACTAAACTCATGAACTGAAAGCTGAGCATTGTTTTTGTATACCCCACGCTGGCGGCTGAGCATGTACAGTTTTGCTGCCACAATGACATTAGCTTTGGTGCTGGGCCAAGTTCTAATCTCTGGCGCTTCCCTTACAGATACACAATAAGGATCCTGTGCCATAAGCTGCCTATACCACGGATTAACATCACAGAGGAAAGATCAGAATCTGTGTATTCTGCCACATCTATCAGTACGAGATGTGCTCACGTTACAGCTGATTAGAGCGGCGCTTACGAGGGAAGACGCGGGTCGTAGCGCTCGACTAACGTGTGGCCTAGCAATTTTGCGGCGTCTGTTGTTTCATCCATGGACAAATATCGATGCAGAGCTTGTCGCTTCGCATTCCGCGACGTGTCTGGCTGGACCTACACACTTACGAAATCCCTAGGAAGGAAACAGGCGAAGATGGTCGAGTTAGATACAGGCTAGCCAGTCCAGCATAGAGGCGCCACCAGAAAGACGCGCTGAGCATTTTCATCCAGTCCACGAGGATCTTTAGCGCATTACACAGCCGCCTGCCTCAGACAGATGTACTATTCAGATGTCAGTATAAAACAGTGGGCTCCTTCACGTATAGTTTCGATAGTGTGACACTTTCAATATCATTCCGCATCTTGCTCTCTACTGCTTTGGCTCTCCGGAAACGACTCAAGCAGACTCTATCGTACCTACTTCGATACTTACATCTACAACATGTTCGGCAGTAACAAAAAGCCCCCTAGATACCAATATCGTCCAATTCAGGTTAGCGAGATCAGGATACTTGAGATACGCCCTGGAAAATACAAAGATCCTTTGCAGGGACGCCTGGTTACATGTCCGGCGACAGGCAAAGGCAAACCACTATACGAAGCACTTTCATGGACGTGGGGCGAAGCGAAGGTTCAGCCCTGCCTCCTCGGTTTAGACACTGGCTCCATCTCAATCTCTAAGGGTCTTGATATGGCGCTTCGGTACGTCCGACCGACAAAGGGTCGCAGGTACTTATGGATCGATATGGTATGCATCAACCAACAGGATCAGGCCGAAGTCAAGGTTCAAGTTCCACGCATGAAGCGCACTTACGAAGAAGCTAGCCGCGTTATCTGCTGGCTTGGTGCAGCGGAAGCCGACTCCCAAGCTGCTATGTATGTACTCGAAGACATGCTTCGTCGAGGCTGTGACACAAGACAAGTGCCAGCTTGGCTCAGACTACCTCCTGCCACAGTCAAACGTGGCCTTCAAGACATCATGCAGCGACCTTGGTGGGGACGTTTTTGGAATATTCAGGAGGCAGCAGTCTGCTGCTCATTGCTGTTACAATGCGGTCCTTACTACTTCTCGTGGACGAGTTCCGTTCGGACTGTGTTACCCTTCTACCGAGCAGTAAAGCTCGCTCACATCCATCCGAGATGGAAGACTCAAGGATTCTGCAATACGATTTTGGAGCCCATGCTTCTATTGCTATTGAAACAGCTCGATGCAGGGCCACAACGGGCTCTATGGCACAAATATCGCCCCCGTCCAGATGTTCTAGACCTGGTGCATGACCTACGCAACCGAAAAACCTCAGACCCTAGCTCGATAATCTATTCGGCACTGAGTATGACTGGCAAGTTGCATGGACAGACTCCCTATCCCAAACCCATGGAACAGGCATTTGCAGATTTATTGGCGGCAATGGACACCAGAGGGACAGCAGCAACATTAGCTAAGTGTCCGTGTGATCTAGACGCAGGCTGCAGCAACTTGCAGCTAAAATAAACTTGGCATACCGCAATTCTGACGAAGTCAAAGCAAATAAGGCAGAGCTTTTTGTTGGATTGTGCAAGCTAAGACTGGTGGTTATCTGACGAGTTTGTGATATGCCATGTTTTTGTCCTCCTGCAATATTGACAGCTTTGAAAACGAACATATACACTTCAACTTGCGCCAAACATATGTTGGAAGTCCCTGTGACGGCGAAAACCCTTATGTGTACCTTGATTTCCACTCTACCTCTAAATCATACCCAATCAGAGGACCTTAACCCAGGATTCAAAATTGGGGACAGATCGAAATTCATAGCCAAATTGTGCAAAAATGCGTCGGCCGGGAATCGAACCCGGGGCTCATCGAATTAGGACTATGTAGAACTAATGGCAACGATGAATTTTACCACTAAACCACCAACGCCGCTGATTGGCTGGATGGCAGGTAAACCTATCAAACTTGAATATATTCACTCAATGTCAGACAGCTCGGGAAAAATATATCAATTCCCAAGCATATGGTTTATGAAAGTGTTGCAATTGTTGGGAGGGCATGATTCATTGTATTAAAGAACAAAATCTACACTGTCTCTTTCCTTTAGCAGAGATAAAACTCATGTGGAAGCTGCCACTTGTGATCCAATCATGACGCCCAGATCTTGCTGCACGCGGCGCTTCTTCATTCTTGCTGCGTCTGTCGAAAAGGGCGGGAGGTCCTCTCTCGATTCCCTCCATTCTGAAGGCAGTAGTTTTCGTAATAGCGAGAAGCCCTTTCGGTAGCTGAGGGAGCTGTCGTAAATTGCGTTCACGTGGAAACATAGTGTCCATGACGCATTCTCTTCGTGGTGGAGGAGCTCGGCTTTGGCCCATCTCCATTGGTGCTCTGAGATGATCCAGGTGATCGAGTGCGCCGGCTTGGGAGACCGCTCAGAACGGACAGTCTTGCATAATAGCATTATGCCATGAAGGCTGTGGCCAAAGGAGAGTGACTGGGTGGCGCCTATTTCTCTCGCTTGATGCTGCAGTGTTATTCTTACGGAGCTGTAGGTGCTTTCTTTCCGTATTGGCGCAATGACTGCCCGTGGTACCTCGATTTCGAGATTGTGGTTTCTCGCTTCGCGGATTTTGCAGATCTTGATTGTGCAGCCAACCCATCTGCATTCGGCGGATGGCGTTGTGTACGCTGGTTGTCGATGACCGGGTGCCGTTGCATCATCGTATGCCGGTGGTGAACCTGCGGCAAGATCGTGCGATGGCTTTCTGCCTACGCTCATCGTGACAGCAGTGCGAATTTTTGGTCCTTAGAGCGTGTACGGAGTCTTTTGCTGTCTTCTTTTTCAGTTGTGCGTGTGCTTTGTAGGCAGCAAGAGATGAAAAGGGAATCTGAAAAAGAAGGGGAGTCGCAGGTATGTGACTTTAACTTACGCATTTGTGCATGTGCTGAGCACATTTTTTGACCCAGTGTCACGGGTGCGGTCGTGAACTGACTCGCAAGCTAGAACCAAACACAAATCCAATAGAGGCTTTGGGATAATAGCTTGCTCTTTTGAGCACCTTTAGCACCGAGACTTTTCGTCTCCCAACACGGGCGGTATGTTATGAAAGTACTCTCGGCCGACACTGTCATGATCGCAGGCAGTACCCTCATAAAGTAAGACCCAATATGGTCACCACTGAAAGCGGCATCTTGTACGGTTCACCTACAGATAGCGACATGCTTTTCTGGTCAGGATTTCAGGCAACGTATAGCAGAGTTCGCAGTCAGACCCTCGGCGACGACAACGCGTTATCGATCTCTCCACACCTTGTAGGCAATTTTGACTGGAACTGCTAAGTAATATCAACGTAGCTTTGAGTTTCAAGCGCCTTGAATGTCAAGCTCATGCCTAAAGACGTGCAGCGCATGCCATGCAGTGCATGCTTCTGGGGAGAGGCTGTGATCGTGAGGGACACGTGCTGTATAAGTGAAACTGAATTAACGGCGCACCGGTTGGTAAGGCCGGATATGATGGAACGTGTCCAGATGTTGGGAATCGGTTATTGTAGAGCATGTTCCAACAAGCTTGCCTCCGGTTCTCGTTCTCGCTGTCATCGGCAGGTCCCAAGCGTCTTGTATCCAGTTTCAAGAGGAACGTCATTGCCCTTACTTAGGCGAAAGATTGCGCTTTCAGCGAAGCCGAGTACAGGAGCTTAACCGCACACTACACCTTCTTTGGGGATCTCTACTCTTTCCTTCTCTTCTCGACTTTCTGTAGCATCCTCCCGGCTGAACTGACTCGCTTGCGCCGTGCCCCGCTGGCCGTCAACATCGACTACATGTGTCTCAATTTTTCCACCCGGCGATAGATTGACGTTGTGCGCATCTTGCTCGTCTTTCTCCAACTTCGCTTTCTCTCTTTTACTTAGCTGCATGCTGCCTTTCTCGATTGCCTCATGAGGGAGTGGCCTCACGTGCGGCTGGCAGACGAAGTAGGGGCGCTTGCATCTGATCACTGCCTCGTTCGAAGAGGTGATGTCTTCGTGTGAATGGAATCTTCCAGGGTTGCGATGGTAATCTAGAAGTCCCTCCTTCACAGCCTGCTCTGTCAGCGTCAGAACATTCTCATAGGATTCCATATAACCAGCTTTCGAGCGCGCAAGGGCATCTCGAACGTTGTGGTGTCGTGTAACCAGAGGACGCAGCATGTGGAAAAGATGAGCCTTAATAGCCACGAAATTTGCATCATGTTGCTGCTCCCACTTGTCTCCGTTGGCATGTTGCATCTTTTGCGATGATTTCCCTCTCTGACCCAACTGCTTTTTGGCCTGCTTTGCTGCTTTCTTTGCCTCAAACTTCTTTTGGCGTTTGCTTGGTGGCTCAGTAGGCTGTGTTCCATCATCCAAGTCTGCTGGTCGCTTGTCGCCTACCTTCTCCTCTGAGTACCCATTAACCTGTGCCTCTCGTTCAACGTGCGTTTCATGCTCAGCGGAATCGCTGACCTGGAATAGCGGCTCCCGCTTTGGCGACTCCTGGCCGAGGACATATGTGTAGAGAATGTCCATGTAACGTCGCAGAACTGCATCCATACGCCAGCCTCCTTTGCCGTCAATGCCAATAAAGTACTCTGGATTCGAGTCTGCATCTTCAGGAATCGCTGCAAAAATTGCGGGATCGTACAGATTGCCTTCCGCGCTCATCACTCCATCTACCCCAGTTGCGTCCAAACAACTCTGAACATCATTGTGCTGTAAGATATTGCCATTTGCAAACATGACAGTCTCAGGTGGCAGCTGCTCTCTCAAGTATCTTAGAACCTGCCAGTCTGCTACTCCAGTGTTATGCCCCTTTTGTTCTCTTTGTCGGCCATGAACCGTAATGAGACTGGCACCTGCGCTCAAAATCATCTTCGCGTATTCAAGGGTCTTCTCCTTTGATTCCAAAATGCGCATCTTAGCCGTAACAGGGATGTCTAGTCCATTATGCAACGTATTGATCAATTTATAGATCGTGTCCCAGTCTTCTTGCAGGAATGCGCCATAGTGACCCTTCTTCGCGATGCCCTGAGGACATCCAAGGTTTAAATCCACAGCATCGCAGTAAGGCTGTACAATCTTTGCTGCTTCCAGCAGGAACTGCGGATCGTTGGCGCAAAACTGGACGAAGAGGGGACGGTCTCCTATCTTTTCGTTTCCATCCAACCAGGCTTCACCGTGCCCCTTCTGCACAACTTGATGGTCCTCATCAGCGGGCGTAGGCAATACGGCTGGTGGTCGCAAGGGAGTAAAATGGTGTTCTCTGTATTTGGGGGTTTCTGCGAAGAGCCGAGCATGGAACATAGGCGAATAACACAATATACTTCGACGGAGGTCAGGTGGTAAAAACGATTTTGTCAGAAGACGCCATGCAAACTCGGATTGGTCCACCATTGGAGCCACAATGTGCTTTGGTGACCCAATGGACTCATAAAAGGCGCGGCCATGAAGCTTGCTTGGGTTTCCGTTTGCCATTGTCGCTAGTAGTCTTATCGACGGTGTTAAGGTGTTGATTCTCGCGTCGCGATACAATACGTGCGCGCTGAAACGTGCAGTCATTCGATGAAGGCTCATCGGCCTCTATTGGATCCGTAGTGAAGTCCTGTTGCAGCAAACTTGGAACCTGAACATTTTTTTGGCTGCAAGGCAACCATCGGTGTTAATGCGGCGTTAAATTGGTATGTCACCGCATGCTGTTGTGTTGGTAGCTTTAGACGTCGTACGATACGAGATTAATGTATACATCGAGCAAGCGCTGAGAGCCATCTATATAAGGTCTTTGCGAGTATCTTTTGCCAGACCTCTTGACGCAACCATCTACGTACTATCCAAGACCTAGGATACCGTGAGAATGAAGGCGTCGTGGACCAAGATCTCTCAAAGTGAGCCCCTCCAGCGCTCTTCCCACAACATCGCAGCCGCTGGGGGGAACCTGTACATTTTTGGTGGCGAGCTAAAGCCTCGCCAACCTCGCGACAATGTCATGTACACTATTCAACTCGACGGAAACGATCAACCTGTCAATCTCGTGAACACGTCAAATGAAGCAACCCCCACTCCTCGAGTTGGGTCAGCTGTTGCAACCATTGGATCGAAACTCTACTTCTTCTCTGGGAGAGGTGGCGAGGCAATGACTCCAATTGATGAGAAGGGTGCATTATGGGCATACGACTCTTCCGGACAGGTGTGGGAATTAATCTCTCCTTCATCAAACCATGTGCCGCAGCCAAGAAGTTACCATGCCACAACATCCGATGGCAACGAGACTATCTACATACACGCTGGCTGTCCTGAAAAGGGTCGGCTACCTGATCTCTGGTCTTTCAACATCAACAGCAAGGAGTGGAAGGAGCTGGCAGCAGCTCCCGATCCAGCACGCGGCGGCCCTTCTATTGCATTTGCCAGTGGCAAGTTGTATCGTATGAACGGCTTCGATGGAAATACAGAGCAAGGTGGAACGATCGATGTGTATGACCCCAAAGCAAACGAATGGTCAAGCGTCAAATTTGCTGCAGATGGAAAGGAAGGGCCTGGCGCAAGAAGCGTAGCCGTACTTCTGCCAGTATCAATCGAAGATCGAAAGCATCTCGTAACGTTGTTTGGTGAGAGTGACCCAAGCTCTCTTGGGCACCAGGGTGCAGGTAAGATGTTGAGTGACGTCTGGGCCTACGATATTGAGTCCGGAAAGTGGGCACAGGTGGAAACCACAAGCGGTGGTGAGGATCCGGCTCCTAGAGGATGGTTCGATGCCGACACTGCAACGATTGCTGGGAAACCCAGCATCGTGGTTGCAGGTGGGTTGGGTGAAACAAATGAGAGATTAGATGACGTCTGGCTTCTCAACTTCTGAGCTAGTAGGAAGTATCATGCGAAATACTTGGAAGGATTTTGTACATCGAAGAAGGGCTTGAT